CTTTCAGATAAACACAATTTTTGGATCACTTTATTCGAAAAAGAATCTTCTATTTTATTCAGCAGTATATCTAGCACCTGACCTTTAATCTGACCCCTAAACTTAACCAGTTGGACTCAGATACCTAAACATACATTTAATATCCAACAATTAATAGACCACCTCACCCTCAATAAAAATAAAAGGACTATTTTGTTCCCCAAAAACCTCTATTTTGGAGCACAAACAACAACTGACTACCTTTCACTATGGCTATGTGACCATTTGCTCCACATATCGTACTCCTTCTGTTTTTAAGCTATTCATTATGAGAGTTGCAACTTTCAGATAAACACAATTTTCGGATCATTTTATTTGAAAAAGAATCCCCTATTTCATTCAGCATTGGATCGAGCACCTGACCTTCAATCTGACCCCTAAACTTAACCAGTCGGGCTCTCTGCCTAATCCTAAATTAAATATCCATCAATTAATAGACCATCTTTCCCTTAGTTTGACCACTAATCTTAACCACTCTGGCTCCTTGCCTAATCCTAAACCACATTCTCTCCTCACTTTTTCATTCTGCTCTTTTTCCGACCCCTTTCCTGATCGAGCTCCTTTGGGAATGATGAATGGAAACGGGTTAAAAACAGATACGGCCATTGCGGCAAGGGGAGGCATCCGCGGTAACCACCGCTAACCTCCTCCGTGTCTCTGTCCTTCAAGCTTAAATTACCCTGTCTACTTTACACCTTTCATATTTATGACTCAGTCATGATTCCACGCTAAAATAAGAGCCGACACGCAATCTATGAACCGTGCCCTTCCTTGGATCTCTATATAACCATGAAGTCGTTGGGCGACATGGGGAGATCTGGTGGCTTTTACCTAACCCTAAACCTGTCATACTGATATTTTGTACAAACTGTAAAGTCCACTGAGACAAATGTAACATTTGTGATATTGGGCTATATAAATAAACATTGATTGATTGATTGATTGATTGAAACCTAACCTAGTCTTCACCCTAAAATTAATGATTCCCCTCATGGGGACATCCAATTTGTCCCCATAAGGGAGGCGAGTCCCCACACGTGACTGTGTAAACAGATTTTGGTCCCCACAAGTATAGTAATGCTAGGCCACACTCACACACACACATACTTTGTATTGTATTGTTGTATGAGAGAGGTGCAGGTTGAATTGAGACGAATATTTGTAATGTTCAGAGGTTGTTGTGTTTAATATTCATGAGAATATTTGTCATTGTTCAAATGATAATAAACATTTGCATAAAGCATATTTGTCCACTCATATGTTGATAAGAGTATTACAAACTTGAAAAATATTCCTCTAAGGCACATTTAGAACAGATGAAAAATTTGCGATTAATTTGCGATCAATCGCAATTAACTATTGTAATCGACTGACAGCCCTAGTTAATACATTTTGACTTGAATACATTATATGGCAATGTTTGCTAACATTAACACTGAGAAATATTGCTGTCATGAATTACCACACAGTACAATAACACTTGCATGACGAAGACAGTGGTTGCCATGGCAACTGCCTTATTAGCCCAGCTTTGCTGTAACCAAGTGTTAGATGTGACCTATATTCTAGAGTTAGTGTAAGACTTGTGAAATGCTCGGCAGCTTGCTAAATCTCTGACTTCAACACACATACTCACACACACACAATAAGTTACGGGTGTTACCACATGGGAAATACTTGAGATGTTTTTGTAAAAGGCGGTATACATGGACGGATCATGCAAACAGGAGGGCGTTTTTTGTGATCTCTCCAAGATTCCAAGCCCCCAGTTTAAATCTTTGGGTTAATTAGGGAATCTCTCCCTGACTTCTATACCGGTTTGATGCCTGGCTTCAAAACATTCCAGTGTGCTAGTTATGTAATGCAAAACCTTCCAAAGGGTTGTCAAATCACATGTCACCCGCACGCTGTGCAGGAAAACCTGCTGCCCGAAATTGAAAATAGACAAATAAAGACATTCATGATTTCCACATTAGATAGCCTCCTGTTTCACACAGCTGAATTATTCATTTTCTGAATTATTAAACAAAGCGTATTTATCCTTTCCTTGGGTTTTTAATCTTTGCCAGCAATGACTTTGTTTCAATATGAATGAAACCTGCCCTTTAACAAAGACATCACCTCTGGCAGGGCGAAAGGGCACAGCGCTCAAACGAGCAGCATAAGTGAGGATTTGTCCCAACAGTTCACTGCTGCAGAGCTGTGTACAGGCCTGCCAGACTCTGAGCCCTACTGTCAGTTCCTTTATGCTCCTGTAAATCCGTCTTTAAATCTGATTGAAAAGTGTCCACAATTGAGTCATGTAGTGTTAACTACTCAGTTTGTCCCTTCTCTGATAAATCCTCTATCTTAATTAAATTAAAGTAATTAAATTACTGATGTTTTTTGTGCATTGATGACATCAGAGAGGCTTCACCAATTCCGTTGCAGACTAAAAACTTACCTGTTTCGACTGCTCTTTTTAAACAAAGAATGGTTGAATGCACTTATTGTAAGTCGCTTTGGATAAAAGCGTCAGCTAACAGAAATATAATGTCATGTAGTCACTGATATTTTTGTAGTTGGTATTGTCCCAGTTTGTCCCTCCTCTTCCTCCACATTCTCCATTCCCCAGGCTTCCCATCGTCATTTTCCTTAAATCCATTTGATGTCCTCGGACTGCCTCAGCACCTGCAAACACTAACTTCCTCTTCCTTTCTCTGCTTAAGGCTAAAACATGCAAGCTTAGAATCTGCCTTTTGGGGCAATATAATGTATTACAGATGTTCTATGTTACAGGAGCTGTGGTGTTGGAAGGGTGTCCAGTAATGACTGACACGACAGTAAAAACTAAACATATCTATAACTAGTTTAGGTAGTTTGAGAGGTAATTAAAATAGCTACGTGCGATATTCTAACCTGAAGTGTGTATTTTGTTCTGCTCACCGCTGCATGTGATCATGCAGAGCCGCGTGTCGACTCGTCAGCAGCAGCTGATCTCTCTCTCCCGTCAGATTAGACTTCACTCGCGTTTATGTCCATATCGATCAGATCCAGCTAGTTCTAGCTAATGATATGACTACCTGCTTATTAAAAGAGACCTAAACAATAAGTGTCGCTATGCAACCGGGTGAGGCCACAAAGTATAGCGCAGCATTATGCATTTGTTTACATGCCCACCTGAACCCCGAGGCATTACCAACAGATCAACGCACAATCAACCCATACAGGACATCTCTTTCTCCACATTAAGTGTTAGACATTAGAATTGACTATTCTTGTCTGTCACATAAGTGGCGCAACTGAAGCGGTATTGCGCTAAAGGGAAATTATTTTGACCGAAGAGATTTAGATTTGCCGGCTAACGGGAACTCTGACGTCGCCATTTTGTGTGCTTCGCGGATGCGCTCGGCTCCTCTCGACTGCTGCTTGGGTCTGCTCGGTCAGCTTCCGGATGAGAAGGCATTCGTTCGACCAACTTACAGTAGATAACATTACAAACATTTTTAACAGGGGCCATAATAGTGTAAATAATGTTTGTTTTGGCAGTTATAACTGAATGTAATGTTTTCTACTTTTTTACATCTGGGAAGGCATTTTCCTTCATCAGATGGAAAGTGTCTTGACCAACACCTTAAGTATTTCTTATAGCTATGCAGGGCATGCAAGCGAGCAAACACAAACAAGAACAAACAAACAAGTGAAATTAAGAATAAAATTGAAATGGTACAATATAATATTGTGGTGGTTCATCTTATAATTCAGTCTAGAGAATGCACCAGACAGCATCTAAGACCTGCAAAAATCAAAATGTTCTAGTAGGCCATAAGGTGAAACCTGTTATCGTTTCATCCCGCTCCACAGAAGTGGAACTACACAATGTTTGGTTCATAAAAAAGAACGAGTCATGCTTATCCACCAAAAAAAAGTTTGTCGCTAAAATTCCTGTCAATTCTTCTAGGCACGTAATTATTGGCTGAACTAGTCCCTTCAAAGCGTAATAATATCTTGGTCAAAAGTAGTGCCACGGTCCGTCACGTGATCGTGCTACACCAATTGGGTAGCTGCATATACCGGTATCAACGAACAGATTTGGAAAAAATGGCGACCGCCATGGTTTCATCGAGTAGCGGGGACGAGGAAAACGCACCAGAAAGTCTCAAAAAGTCAAAATTATCAACACACAAACATTGTTACATGCATATTACGTCTGTGAAGCACGAAAAGGTTGAGTATTTTACCAATACAAGATGGAATACGTACAGGACAAGTTTACAACGGTGGCTCGGCTTGAAGGGAGACTCTCGGAACGTGGTGGCTGAAAACCACAAGCACTGTCTTGATTTCGAGTTCGAAGATATTCCTGAGGACGCTGGCTTCCACCACACATGCTACATAAGGTTTACCGACACAAAGGCCATGACGAAGGTGGAAAGACGGCTCGCACGTGAGGGAGATCAAGACGTTAGGGAGGACCTCGAGGTCGAGCCCATCCCATCAACGTCTAGCAGCACGTACCGAAGCCAAACAGAGAAGCTACGATCGAGGTCAGGCCTGCCAATCACAGGCTCTGGCCCCGTCCTTCCTGCCCTGTGCATTATATGCAAGATGAAGGAGAAAATGATCATCAAAGCAGGCAAGCGACAAAGGGATCAACTGTGTAAGACTGAAACATTATCAGCAGGTAAGCAAAAATCTAAAATGCAAACCCCCTCCCCCCCACACACACACACACACACACACACACACACACACACACACACACACACACACACACACACACACACACACACACACACACACACACACACACACACACACACACACACACACACACTCTCTCTCTGTGGTTGAACAACTGAAAGGTACAATTATGTGTGAGAGACACATCAACAAACTCATTGAGTTGTCCTTTTTTTCCGTTTAGGCAAATTGCAGAAAGCTGCTGAGAAGAAAGATGACCAAAGCGTTCTTTACATATAAAAGACAAAGACTGTGTGGCTCTGGAGGTGCGGTACCACAAAAGCTGTTACAGTCAGTACACCAAGTTTTTGCTGAGACCTGACAAACCAGAGACAGAACAGTAAGTTATTTCTCCTTGGATTGCTTTACCTATTTGCACTACCACCAGACTGAAGTCCAGGTGTGTGTCGGCGATGGCTATATATATATATATATATATATATATACACATACTTAACATTATATAAGTAAACATCCAATTTCCTTCTGTTATATGTGCACACAATCACAACACTTATTCATTTATCCATTTATGTACTTCTCATTCATGTGTTGTAGGGATGAGCCAATGTTTGATGCCAGTTACAAGCTGTTCTGTGAGAGGATCATCCGCCAGAGGCTGCTTGTCAACAATGAGGTGCTTAGAATGGGCCAGCTGAGGAAGGCCTTCATTGACATGGTGAAAGCAAACAAAGGTGTTGATGCTTCAAACTACAGGTAACTGCAATGTAATACAAGTCTTATTATTTATCATGTGCAAGGCCAGCTTTAAACACAATGTGTATGACAGGCCTGTTTGGAGAAACAGTTTTTAAGTCTTGCTGTTTTCACAGACATGTGCAACTTCCTCAACTACTCAACTTCCTCTTGACTGCCTTTTTTTTGTTTATTTTATTTGACTATATTTACTTATTTGCCTGTCCTTGTTTGTCTACCCTCCCTCTTATTGTAAAGCATCTTTGAGTTGTGAAAAGCGCTATATAAATAACATTTATTATTATTATTATTATTATTATGTACCAGTTGGCAACATGGAGAACAGCTGATGTGTAGTGTGTAGTGTTGTTTGTGATGACGTGGGCCTTTATTTGGCTTCTTTGGTGTTACATGTGCTGTATGGCATATAGGTTCTAGTCTGTAATGTCTTGTATCACCTCCACCACTCTCTGCTTTTGATGGTACTCCTGTGACTCGTAATTGTCACTGTTTTGTTGTGTTACAGACAGGATCTGTTGAAGAAGAGGCTGGCTCAAGATTTCCCTCAGCTAGCGTTTCACATGCCCACCAAGCGCAACGTCTGCGAACTGGTTTTTGCTGAGACTCTGTCAAAGGATGCACTCGTGGACATGCTACCAGATCCATCTGGTACGGAAACAACACAGTCCAGTGAATTGAGCCAGACAGACAGCAACAATGAAACAGGGAGAACAAAGTGCCAAACAACACAGGAGGACACAAGGACACTGTATACAGCAGCGTTGTTTTTGAAAAGACTGCTTAGTGACACTCCTGGCATGTCATGCCCATGGCCTCCCACTTCTGAAAATCTAAATGTCACTGAATCTCAAACTGTTGTCCCCATTTGACTATACAATCTGGTCAGCTGGATTATAGGTGCCACTGAGGAGCCAACACTGGATCATTATGTCAACATTGATGATGACGTACATTTGAAAGTGTTGTCTGTTTGTCAAGACATTGTGTACCTTGCTTCCAAGGGCCGCAAGCAGACACCCAAATCCTTGGCTTTAGGTTTAACATTTAACTGGATTATCACGCATTGTATCACTGCTTAACAGACTGGGACATTGTGCATCATGGGACACAGTTTTGAGTCTAGACACTAGCCTTGCCCAACTGACACTAGTAGAAGGCAGAGACAAAATACCGAAGGGATTCTCAAAGCGGACACCCACAACACTTGTGTGGGATAACATTGACTTTGGTGAGGAGACACTATCGGGTCGTGGAACTACTCACCATACAAATGGAATTATGCTCCAGAGTTTGCCCGTCGAGCCTATGTCCACAGCAATCAGACAGCCACTGAGAAAGGGAGTTACCTCATTCATAGCTCCCCCCCCCCAATGCCTATACAACCTTACCATCAGTCCAAAAGGCAAGGGCCACAGAACTTGTGTCAACCAGTGCAGTCAGTGACATGCAGAATGGACACCCACTTTGCTGCACAAGCTGAAATGGCATATGCTTTTGTGAAGTTCACATGTACGGATAGTTGTACAATCCCAAGCTGGACAGGGTTCCATACACTGCTTCAGGATGAAAACACTCTGCAGAAGTCCGCATTGTATTATCTTCCAGTCATTGAAGCCTCACCAACAGAGATGTCAACAGTCAACACTATCCTGAAGCGAAGTGTCCAGATTGCTGACCAGCTAGAACTGTATCATATAGTTTTAGTGTTTGACCAGGCTATATATGCCAAAGCACAGCAAATACGCTGGAAGGATGTTGAGTTTACAAAGCGTCTAGTGATTAGACTAGGTGAATTCCATACATGCATGTCCTACCTGAGTATTCTAGGCAAAAGGTTTGGAGATGCAGGACTGCAAGATATCCTCATTGAATCTGAAGTTGTTGCCCCAGGATCCATCAATGGGGTACTCAATGGCCATCAATACAATCGCAGCATGAGGGCTCATAAACTTCTATATGAGAGTCTGCAGCGCATCCGGTTTATCACCTTCATGGACTCCTTGCCACCCCAAGAGAGAGCTGCGTGCATGGATGTCATCACTGAGATGGAATGTGCCTTTCCAGACAGATTGATGGATGTTTTGAGTGCAGATCAGAGGTTTGATAATATGTGCTCGAAATATGCAGACTTTGTGCAGAGGAGGAGTACAGAGAATGCAACATTTGCTTTCTGGAGCTCATACATTGACATGATGCAGCTACTCCTCTTGTTTGTGAGAGCAACGCGAGAATCAAACTGGCAGCTTCACCTGTCAACCGTCCGGTTAATGATGCCATGGTTTTTTGCCTACGATCGAGTAAATTACGCTCGATATTTACCTGCATACTGGCTGGAAATGATGAATCTGCCTGTCACACATCCCTCTTGCCACAGTGACATGAATGTGAAAGGCCAGTGGACTGTCCAGCGACAAAGTGTTCATGGATTTGCCTCCATTGCTTGCGACCAGGCTATTGAGCAAACACTTAACAGAGATGCCAAGACCAAAGGTGGCTGGACAGGGATCACACAAAATCGGTCTGCAGTGTATCGCTGGATACTGTCACAGCATGAAAGAGCCGCGATAGCAAGACAGTGTGAATCAATGGCAGGGATATCTCCTGAGCTACGGACAAGAAAAGACCTGGACAAGACACGCATCTCTGCTGATGCAAAGGCTGTGAGTAGAATCTTGGACACTATTGATTCCATGCTCAACCCTTTTGATGTACACCAACACGGCATTGTGTGTCTTAGCTCTGGAACAGTAGCAACAGGAGAAATCACAAAGGAGTTGCTTGTTGCCTCAGAAAAGGGTGAAAATGTTGTAAAGGAGTTTATGGAGCAGAGACTGTTATCCAAAACAGTTGACATATTTGCCCCCATAATATCACAAAAACTCAAGACTCTCAGTGATCAGAAAAAGCCCCCCAAAACATCTGCAGCAGGCAAGGAAGTGATTTTGCGTGCTGACAAGAAGTTATTTTCCAGGCTCCTCATCCTTGGCCAGAGCAGGACAATTGAAATGAGGGAAATGCTGTCATATTCCTTGGGAACTGTGTCATATCCATTAGCAAGTGCTGATGGTTCACTTGCCAAAACAAACAAATCAGCTCTCATGGATCTATTGCAGAGCAAAGGTGGAGAGTGATTGGTTGACAAAGTTCCAATAGGTGGTGCCATTCTTTTTGATGGCATGGCAGTCATGCAGGCCATGCGATCCAGACCAGCAACATTTGGAGAGCTTGCAGAGACCATACTGCAGAGCATACTCCAACTTGCTTTGCATCACAAGTGTACACGCATTTATTTAGTCTCTGACCGGTATCCACCCATCAGCATCAAAAGCCTAGAACGGTCCCGTAAAGCTGATACAGGGTCACAACTAATAACAATCTTCAGCCCAGATCAGAGAACTCCAACCCAGTGGAAGAAGTTTCTCTCTGACGGAAAAAATAAGGAAGCACTGGCCGAATTCCTCAAAACAGTGGGTAAAAACCTCAGCTTGTACATTGCCCATCAAAATCAATGCCACTGTGTAACTGTCATGGAGGGTGTACAGTCTGTTGATGTTGTTGAAGACCTGCAGTGTGATCATGAGGAATGTGACACACGGGTGTTTTTACATGCCCAACATGCTGCACAGGAGCACAAAGCTGTCGTCATCAAGAGCTCTGACACTGATGTGGCAGCCTTGGGTTGTACCCTGTACATGTTAAATGCACTCTTAAAATAAACATGACTTGATTTCATACATAGCTGCGTCCAAGAAGAAGGTTAACTTGTTACGTTAAGTAATTTAGATCAATAAAATGCAGTACTTATACCAATGTCCATTGATTCATTTATTTACTCATTCATCCCTCCACACATTCCTCATGATCACACTGCAGGTCTTCAACAACATCAACAGACTGTACACCCTCCATGACAGTTACACAGTGGCATTGATTATGAAGTTACAAATACAATATTATCATATTACAATAATAATAATAATAATAATAATATATATATTATATATATATATTATATATATCTATAATAATAATCTATATATATCTATAATAATAATCTATAATAATAATAATAATAATGTAATTCATCAAATTATTATATGATGAATGAGTCAATAAATGAATCAATGGCCATTGGTATAAGTACTGCATTTTATTGATCTAAATTACTTAACGTAACAAGTTAACCTTCTTCTTGGACGCAGCTATGTATGAAATCAAGTCATGTTTATTTTAAGAGTGCATTTAACGTGTACAGGGTAACAATAACAACAGACAGACAGACAAAAAGTCCTCAGTCTAATGGAATAATCAACGAGCTCAGCCAATGAACCTAGCGATGCGAACATGGTAGTCCAGGAATGTTGTTGTAGCTGGAGTTGGCTGATAAACGCTGTTAGCCAATGTTGATTCGATGGTCAACTCTGTTCCCAGATAGTAAAACCTCTCACAAATACCGCGTATATAACGCAAATACCTCGGACTTAGTGATGTATTAAGACATATGACAAAACATGACATAAAACAAGCATACAGCACTGTTTAGAATCCATTTGGTCTGGTTTAGCGTAACCATGTAGGCGGCCATCTTTCACTTCTGTTGACAATATGCAGCTACCCAATTGGTGTAGCACGATCACGTGACGAACCGTGGCCCTACTTTTGACCAAGATATTATTACGCTTTGAAGGGACTAGTTCAGCCAATAATTACGTGCCTAGAAGAATTGACAGGAATTTTAGCGACAAACTTTTTTTTGGTGGATAAGCATGACTCGTTCTTTTTTATGAACTAAAGATTATGTAGTTCCACTTCTGTGGAGCGGGATTTATTTTCTAAAGGACTTTTCGAGGTTCACCTTGCGGCCTATAGGGGGAGGCCCCCCAAACCCTTCGTGCCATTTCGTCCGCGCGCATTTTTCAGGGCAATCTCTATTGGGCTCAGGGCCATCTGTAAATTAGCTTAGATGGCCCACAGGGCCATCTCCCAAAATCCTTAATGTCATGCACTGTATGTACATTTATTTAGATTTGATGTGTATAGGTAATATCCTGTGCATGTGTGTGTATTGTAGAGAATGTAAGGCAAGGCAAGGCAAGGCACGTTTATTTATATAGCACTTTTCAACACAAGGCAATTCAAAGTGCTTTACAAAAAATGAAAGAGATTAATAAAATGGCATTTAAAATCAGTCATTAAAAAGAAAAGCTAATAAAATAAACATTAAAAGAAAAATTACAGTGCAGTCAATTAAACATTAAAAGAAAAAATACATGGATAAAAGTTACAGTGCAGTCTAAGATATGAATAGTTCAATTAAAAGCAGCGACAAAAAGAAAAGTCTTCAGCCTGGATTTAAAAGTAGTCAGAGTTGCAGCGGACCTGCAGGTTTCTGGGAGTTTGTTCCAGATATTTGGAGCATAATAACTGAACGCTGCTTTACCATGTTTAGTTCTGACTCTGGGGACAGAAAGCTGACCAGTCCCTGAAGACCTGAGAGATCTGGATGGTTCATAATTTAGCAGGAGGTCAGAAATGTATTTTGGGCCTAAACCATTCAGTGCTTTATAAACCAGCAGCAGTATTTTGAAATCTATTATTTGACACACAGGAAGCCAGTGTAAAGACTTCAGAACAGGAGTGATGTGATC